TGGGACATGAAAAAAGAGAGCTTTTATAGTAGTATTATCCAATATCTGTCTTTCTTCAGTTATTCTGATCTCCATATACGACAGTTCCGAATTGTGACCCTTGGTTGCGGTGTCTTTTCACATGTGCTCTTGTGTGGGCTACAGATCCCCAGGCAAGGCCACCTGTGTTCTCCTGACCATATAGTGGGACCCTGTTGATACAATGGACTATGCAGTAATTCTGAACTGATGGAATAGCTATCCTGTAAGTGAAGCCATAGCACTCCGATAGTAAGGAAAGCATTTTTCTACCCTAATCTTCAAAGGGGAATTATTGGCTTTATTATTTTTTAAACTTAAAACCTAGTTTAGTTTTACACTTCGTGAAAATGTAAATTGCATACACGCTATGTAAAAAAACTTACTACCTTGCTCATTTTGAGGCACAAAAAGACACATTTACGGACACTTCACAATAGCAAAACTAGGTGTTTTATGGGAATTATTCCACAGTGGTGCTGAAAAACTATTCTCTTTGAATGCCACATGTTTTAACGATTTTGTGTGTTACACAAAAAACTTCTCACAGGACCTGTTTTGTTGTTTCTCCATATGGCTGATATCTTTATCATGGGCCAACCCCACGTATATGAAGCCACTGCAATCCACAGAGTTCTGTATCTTCGTTTAAAATATTATTCCCAGCTTCTTGATATGATCCCTTATGTTTCTACTCTGCAATGTTTCAGCTTTTTGTAGTTGTGGCAGTTGGCTTTTGTCCGTAGTGTAAAGTCTTCATGTGCACTGGTGAAATCTAGCAGAGTCAAGAGAGAGATGTTGCTTGGCTATCGCTTTACTCCTGGCTAGCCCTGGCCAGTTTTAAATGTTGCTTCTCCTCAGGTCTCAAGCAGGGTTAAGTGTTACGATTTTAAGTGATTTTTTAGCTGTTTATCATCAGATGTCCTCTTAAAATTATTTTTAACTATTTTCAATTATAGGGAACATTCTCGGGAGGTGAGTTAGTGGGGGGAGGTGACGTGGGGTGAATTAGGAGTTCGTGATGCAGCCTGGTAGCTATTCAGCAACTATCAGCGATTGCTTCTCCTTTTCCAAGGTGAAGCAAATGTTCCTCATTCTTAATTATAGGTAAATGTAACGAGACTCTCTCGGATCTATTGCTTAACTCAGCTTTGTTTATGTGGATAAAATGAGAACTATTACATTTGTATATAAACATTCGCTACATGAAGTAAAAAGTGGGTTGATCTTCCATGCAGTATCTATAAAACATGCCTTTATATGGCTGAGGAGTCCTGAAACAATGATTCAGCATTTAAATTTATGCTGAATTTCATTAAATGCTCACTGAGCGGCACACTGTTTTCAAACCTGCTTGGAACTGTTGAATAACGCTTGTTGATCAGAAAAATGAAAGCCTTTAGCAATAAATTATTAACGATATAAGGAGTTGTTAGACTGCCGGAGAGGTTAAGCGTACTGTCGTGAGCGAGTTCTCCGGCTGCAGTCGGGCTGGGAGGCAGCGCATTGCCATCTATGGGCCGTATGGAGAAACTGTTTGAAAGGTATGACGAGCATTTTCTTTTTCCCTGATATCTTAACAGTCTGGAAAGAACAAAAGCAAGGAGAAAGGCCCGTACGAGGTATAATAAAGGCTGTTTACATTCCGTTTTCAGTAGTTAATAATGAGAATCGTATTTAGCTTATCTCAGCGGCTTTTTTTTTTCTGTGACACAAAGTTCAATCCCCATTTTTCTGCCAGTTATTAATGTGGGATGTTTTATTTAGACTGGCAAGATTGTTCTACTTTCTTCTGTTGAAATGTTATCAGAAGTTTACTGTCTTATAAAATAATGTGTTGATGTAGCTATTACTCCTCTGCAGCCATTATATCTTGTTTGGGTTTCAGAAATGCAATCGATTGTGATATTGATAGAAGTCTGTATTCAATATTAGTTACCTTTCTGCAAAAGCGTTGCTATTTTGACATAATTCTTTGGGTCTTCAGGCATACCTGGAAAGTATGCTTAGACATCAACCGTTAGGAGTTCAAGATCAGGGTTAGAGAAGAACTATTTCTCTGTTCTTCCTTTATACAAAAGTGCCTCAAAATGAGCAGCCGCACACATGAGCAGTTTTACACTGATAGGAATTTACATCGGATTCTTCAGGCAGAGAGGTTCCTCGTGCTGGTGAGGATTCACAGTTAGCCCTCAGGCATGCAAAAAGGGGATGGACATAAATGTGACTAACTGATGATATATAAACTATTTATTTGCGTGGTCGTGTTTTGCAGGCAACTCTGTAAATGGCTGTACTCTAGAGAATTATTTTCCCAGGATCTGCTGATCTGTACTGCTGTGTCATTCTGAAAGGCAAGCAGATGTGAAGGCCCAGGGAAGTTACAGTTTGCAGTAGTTCACACATCAATATGTAGGAGCCCTCTGGAGGAACGAGAGCACGTGATTATCAATACATTATTGATTCAAAGTTCCTGGTTTTCATTCTTCATGTCTGTCAGAGTTAGAAGGATTATTAGATATGTAAAATTTAATCTCTGGTCAGATTTATTTAGTCACGGGTTGTCTTGAGAGAGACAGTTTTAGAAACTTGCATGTATTTAATTTTTACGACAGCTTATTTCAAACAAGTACAATTCAGGTTTTTCCTCTGCTTAGTGCTTCAGCAAGTCTTTTGTATCTTCCTGCATCGTTCAGACTTAGCCTCCAGATAATGGGTTTTCATCGGTTTCGGTTAAAACGTAATTCTGTTAATTTTTATTAAATTGCCAAGACTGAAATGATTGCTTTAGTTGATTAAGTGGATGAGTCTAGGAGTTCAGTTGACTGCTTAGAACACTTAATGTATAACCTGCCTTAGTTATTTTATGATACTTATTCATCTGTCCTTAGCATAAAGTTTACCAGATCTACGTAGTGAACAGAATCTTTTCTTCAGCTGATCTTTCTTTGTGTTTTAGTGTTTCTTTTTTTTTTTTTATTCTTTCTCTTGTTTTCCCATACTTGTAGACAGGGGATATCTGTTACAGTGTGAATTGACAGAAAAGTAATAAAAAAGAAGTGAACTCTCTTGTAGCGCTGTGATATGCTACTGCAACCAAACAAATGACGCGTTATGTTTCCAGAAGTGTGTAATAATTACATTCCTTCTTTCTGCATTTCAGAAAATTTTGATTTGGGCATGTCATTGTCAAGGATTTTCTTGCTCTATAATTGTGGAATTGCAACATCTGTGAAATACTAATTCATATGTAACGTAATAGATATATCAGTCCGTTACCCACTGCCTCAAGGGTATTTCAGCAGTGCCAATACGGTTGCTTTTGGTTTGCCAGTTTGTTGCTCTGGCTTCCAGGTTGCCAGTGGATTGATAAGAGCTTGATGAATCTGTTTTATTATAATGTGTTTCATCATGTTTTACACGGTAGAATGATGCTGTGCACTACACATGATCATCTCTGTATTATCTATGTCTTTTCATGATATTAATAATTTCTTTAATGAATGCCACTTCATCCCTTAGCTCAGTTTCTGCTGCATGTCTAAATGGGCAACAGTGAAGTTAGATTTCATTTGGTTTCTATATTCTGCGGATTCATTCACCCTGTAAGAGATCAACAGCTCACAGTTTCTTTGAATATGTTAGAGCCTGAAATTGCTGTTCATTATAAAGACCTTGAAAATCAATTAAAATTAATTAATTATGTAGAGTAGTTTTGAAAAGAGATGCTCTAGCTTTGCATAGTTTTTTTGTGATCTGCGATATATTGTTGTGCTTTGATTAGTTGGACAGGAGAGTTATGTGGTAGAAACATATTTGCTGCAGAAAAACAGTTTGGGGACAGATGAAGCTTCAGCA